GTCACTATACTGGGGCATTAGGATCCACACAGACCGTGGGGTGAGCGCCCCCTGCTGGCCCCACTAACACCTCTTCCAGCAGCAAGCTTAGCTTTTCCCAGGTGGTCTCCAATCAGATTTTGCAGCGGTCTAGATTCTCAAGTGTGCATATCATAAACGTAGATGACAGTAATGACTTTATGGTGAGAAATTATATGCCTGAGGAAGTGAAGCTGACTGTCGGAGTCATGTATGAGGGTAAGTATTGGATTTATTTATCCAACTTTCCTCCTGATTTTATGTTTTAACTTTAATATATTTCCATTTCTCATGGAAAAATGACTTCTAAAAAAAGTCAGTTCAGTTCTGCTTTTCTATCAATTAAAGGGGTTTGCATCAATTAAAACGGTGTTGAAACTCTTTATTTTGGAAGAGAAGAGGCAGGTGTTTCGTGGAAAAGTAGACTCGTAACAGGGATATGAACATCCTGCCAAGCAGTCTCGCTTTGACTGCAATCTTTGGAGTCTGTAGTCATAAGAAAAATAAAATAATCTTGTTAAAGAAGATTAGACCCATAGCACAAATTGAGCAGATCAAAAGTAATCATTTGAAATGTATTGAAGAAGAAGTAAACCGCAGGTATAACTTTCAACCAACTAAGACTAGGTCAGCCAGGTAAAATGTCTGCAATTGATAAAAGAAAAATGATTAGAGCTATCCAGGAAAACCCTAAAACAAGTGTCGGTGAATTCACAAAATTCTCAAAATCCACAGATCTCAGAAGATTAAGACAATAGAATTACAAAGGCTGCTTTGCAAGGTGCAAACCTTTTTTTCATCAAGAAAAGTCAGAATTTGCAAAGATGAAACAAGTAAGTTTTAGAACACAGTTGTATGGACAGATGAGACCAAGATAGACTTTTACTAAAATGGTAGAGATTCAGTTGTACAAAGACAATGAACTGCAGGTGCCCCAGAGAAACCCATCTTATCTGTGAGAGGTGGAGGTATAGTCATGTCCTGGGCAAGCCTGGTTAGCTGTAGAATTGACTCATTCATCTTTATCGATGTAACTAGCACAGACACATCATTATAAAACATGCTCTATATGCTTTACATGATAACATTAGCAGAATTAATTCTGAAGTTCACAGAAATATTTTGATTGCTTATCTAAGGAAAATGCTTCCATACTTGTTGAGTGGAACTTCACTGTCCAAACTGGCCACAGCACAGGCTTGGCAAAGCATCTGATCACACAATTGAGGAGCTCAAATATCACAGACTTCATGCAGTTATTGGTCTCAAAGGAAAGTGACCTGATACTGACTTTTGCACTCTGAATTCACAGTGTTTCGCACATGCTAAAAGTGAACGTGATCCAGTCCTTATGATAATTTAAAATCACAAAATGTTTTTTTGTTCTAATGTGATCTTTAGATGATCCATGGTGTTACTTAAAAATAATGTTTTATGTTCTGCATCTCTTGGTCACAAATGCATATTGCCTGACTTCAAGCACAAATAAGAGTTTTGACTTTGCTGTCCCAATATGAATTTGAATATGAAGCAACTTCTGAAGCAGGTTTGATGGTTCATATTAAAATACGTTTGTGGATTAAATCCCTTCCTTTTAAAGTCTTTTAAAGAAGGGAAGTCCTTGGGTTGTTACATTAAAATATGTAAACTGGACATAATGTATATATAATTGTATGCAACTTTTGGCCACCCCTGGTCAAACTGTATTTTTTCAAATTGTATTAAAATGGGCAGAAATCTGCCATGTTTCGGTTTGTACACTGCGGAGGTTGTGTTAACTTCTTTTCACGTAGAGATTCAGTGAAACATGCCATTTGACCAGGGGTGCCCAAACGTTTGCATACAACTTGTATATTTATACACTAGGCACATTTTTTACTCCTAGTGACGAATGTGCTGTTTATAGGCTTGGTGTTTCCTTCATGGGCCACAGTGTATCTGTACAGGTGTGCTGATTTTTCCGATTGGCCTGTTAGAAGTGTGCCCGGGTTTTAGAGCCTGTATGTGAAGGACATCAGATCCTGGAGGATGATATCATTCTGGCGCGCAGGCTCTGAGCAGCCACGCAGAGGTGCCAATGTAACACCATACTGCTGGAATGCTGCTTGTGGACGGAGATGGACAAATAGGCTCTTTCAGCAAACACAACACTTTAACAGGGAATCCTGGGAGCTCTGACGACAGGTGGAACAGGGCGTTGACTGGCGTGTTGGCAAAGCACAGACACGTACAGAGTGATGAGCGTCGATCGACCTCTGACGGCCGCACGCAGATCTGTGTCCACTACAAGATCGGAGGGAGTTGAGAGGGGGTGTGTTCATGCTCCAGTGAGGGGTGGGGGCAGTGATGTTTGTTTTTGTGAAGAAAAAACGGTAAAATAAGGGCATTCGGGGTGCTCTAGATGGGCTTTTACCCTCTTACCAAGTTTTCAGCTCTTTTGCTGAAACCGTATAACATCCATCCCATCTATTTTCTACACTGCTTTAGCCAAGCCAGGGTCATAGGGCAGCCAGAGCCTAACCTGGTAAGCAACAGCCGGAAAGTTGGGTACACCCTGGACGGTATGCCAGTCCATCATAGGGCACACACGAGACGCGTGCACCCTCACACCAAGACCAGTTTTCCTACAGCCACTGTCTTTGACTGTGGGAGGAAACTGGAGCACTTGGAGAAAACCCCCACATGAAATGGGAGAACATACAAACTCCACACAGACAGCACCCCAGGTCCAGAATTGGACCCAGGGCCCTAGCAATGTCAGGCACTGTTAAACACTGTGCCGCCCAACTGTCACCTCAAATTCATCTCATTCGTGGTTGTGACTAAATTAAGGTAACACTATAATTATGACTGCTTTTAACATACAGAGGCATCCAAGCTCTGCATTCAACCAGAGGCAGAGCATATACATGTAATTTCAGTTATATTGAGCTTGTTATTTTATAACAGTACGGTAATGTTGGAAGAATTCCTATTTGAAATGCGGAACAGCTCTGGAAGAGCAGGTGTCCCCTTGTGAACTGGTGACTCCTTTCCCCGAGAAAAGGGAATTTGAATTTGCCCAGGTTATGAAGGGCTGCGCTGGGCAACGGACCCAAAAAATGCAACTTAAAGCCAATAAGAGCAGAGGGTTCTCATAGCTAGCTACCCGTTCATCCCATCCTGTGCTACGTACGGAATCACTATCTAATGAGTGAAACAATAATTAATTTTAGTAAAAAGTAACGGACTTGTTAAAATAATTATCAAGTTCTGTCAGCATGGCAGGTTAAAAAATGTCCTGATAATTGTTCTTCTTTAGCTGGTTATAAGCAGTCTTTGTACTCGTACACAGGAGCTCAAGGTGCACATGGTCATGGCGAGTCCAGTCCAGTGCTGGCAAAGACAGTCATTAAGGAATGTTCCAGTCTACGAGAAGTCCCGTTGCATCATTTGAAAAAATGCCCAGCCCTATGAGAGCAGCGTTTCAGCGTTTTAGATCTTATAAACACAAATAAATTCAGTCAATGATAAATGACTAGAAAAGAAAGACGCATTTTGTGCCATGAAGTTCCTTTTAATTTACTATTTCCTTGGATCTCCCACTACTATGTATATTTTGTATATGTAGAGTTCTTGATGTGTTGGACCTGTAACTCTTCCAAAAACATATGCTGACCAAAAGACTTAAGACTAAGTGTGCATGAGATTCAAGTTCAACTTCACGCTGCCTTTAAAATGCCTTTAAAAGATTCTTTGAGGCCACAGAAATCGGTAGCAAGTTCTAACATACGAAATCTCATATGTTTTGGAGTTTTCAGCATTTTCTTGGTACTTGAATGCAATATCCAGTTGTGT